AAAGATTGAGATATAACTCTTAGTGCACACCTTAGTTTTGAGCAACATTACTATTTGGGCATCCTTATTAATCGTCAATTCGCGTTCATGAATATTTAATTTTCGTAGATTAATGTGCGATGCCCGGAGCGATCGTATCACATATCTGTCTCGCTCCGCGCCGAGCGAATGCCGAAGTGATGACGTAATCAACCACCGGGCCGCTTCCTCCTCGCTTTCGCCTCGTCCCCTTGCTTTTCACTAGACGCTGTTTAGATTATTGCGTATGAAAAATATTAACGATTTATTCAATTATATGCATTTTGATAAATGTATTGTACATTTCGCGCTTTGCTTTGTAGCATCTCTAGCCCTCGTTAAATCATATATTATAATATTATTAAATCATATATTATAATATTTGCGCAATTCTTGTAATCAGTACTTGCGTGGAGTATTTTTGATATTGCAATTATATCTCAATTTTTAATTATCCTTTTAAGTGATTCATTAATAATTAAAGGTCGATAGTATTGTATACATCCTTTATATAAAGATAATTTTATTAATATTGCGGAATAATTTGCGCTAAATGCAACTTTGGCTAAAAAAGTATTAAATATCCTGTCAATCATTATTTAATTTTTTCAGTTAAAAAATTTATTTATTACATCGCTGTAAATTATTCTGTGTTTTAAAAATTCTTTAAACTTACGTATAATGGCAATCATGACTCGATAAAATAACTGTTATGACTTATTTAAAATCATAAATATATAATGAGTTTCAGAATCTTATTTAAAATATCAAATCGTAGGAATCGGTAAAAAATTGATAAAATATATATTTTAAATAAAAAAAATAAAAGAGTTATTTTAGTCTTTATTATTTTAAATAACTTCACTTCTGACTTATTTTTGATTTAGGTGTTTTAAATGTTTCCCGAACCTATTTTATATTTTTTAATTGTAAGGGTGGTTTTCAAGATTTGGGAGTGGAGCAACAAATCAAAACAAGAACCGTCAATCAGTTGAGATAATTCGAGAATTAACAATTTATAGGTGATGTGTTAATTCGGGGTGGTTAGGAGTGGTTTGCAAATTCGGGGATGAAGCAAGAAAATCAGATTCGTCGGGAATCGCAAGCAACATAATCACAGAGCCATAATCAGTCAAAATATTTCGAGAATTAACAATTTATAGATGGTGTGCTGACTCGGTATAACTAAGGGTGATTTTCGATTGAGGGTGAAGCAATAATATCAGGAAGTGAGCAACTAATTAACAACAAATTAACACGAAAAGAATATGCCTTATTTTTTAATTTTTTTTTTTTGAGTGGCTGTGCTAACTTTATTCTGTTGTGCTAACAGCCATTGTTTTTTCGGAATTTGCTGGAACAACAAAAAAGCATTGAATTTCTGTGCAACTTTTATTCAATTGTGCTGAAATGGCTAGGTCAGCTTAATAGACGTGAGTAATTAATCTAATTATTTTTCTAATTGAATTACTATAATAGGCTTTCATGTATATAAGGATTGCGTCTTTAACGCATATTATACTTGTCATACATGAATTAACAAGAATCTGCTGACTCCTTTGATTTCTTTTATCGATTTATTGGACAAATATGCTTGATAAATAATGAATGTGATAATTTTATGAAATTGCCTATTCATATTGTTTTGGAATGACGTATTGCAATTAGCAAATTACAAATTATCGCTCGGAAATATTTACTAATGTTCATTAAGATAAACCGATCCCTGTGACCGGATATCTATATATTTGAAATGTAAATAATCCAGCTCTGGCTATATGTACATATGACTCAAGGATCTGTTTGAATATGATAGAGAAGTATGATCCACATCGTGAAAAAGAAGTGAGATCTGTGTTCTCCCTGTAGATGATACTCATAATAAGATCTTTAGTATTAACGGAATTATGAATCCTTCTTGTGCCACTGACTATGTACATTATACTAAGTTTTAGTTTGTGACTAAGTACGTAATGTGATTTATTGTTACAGATTCCGCTAAACGTAATGTACATATATATATATATATA